AAGTAAATAGCTTCGTATAAGTAAACGGAGTGTAAAAGATATTATGAATGAATATAAGAAAGTGAAAATAGAGAAGTAAAATCAAAATTAAGCTCTTTATAACTGGTAATGTCGCTGGTGTTACATTTGTCAAACATACTCACCAAATTGTTCGTTCACTCTAATCATTACAAAATTAGTGATACAGGAAATGAACTCAGTTACGTGTTGAATAACAGGACAGATTGGGTCCAAGAGCTTTGGTTGGCAATCAGTCTACCGTCGAAAGAAACGGCGGCTTAATGCTGGAAAATCTTCTGCCTAGTCAGTCATAAACGGAAAGAGACATGATCGATCAAGCTAAAAGTGCATATAAAAATGCATTAGAAATTAGCGTAGAAATTCAATGAAACTTTTTTGCGTTTAAATTTGGCAGGAGTTTATTATTATCTGAACTAAGAAGGCCCGAGGGCCCAGCGCCAAAAAAAACGTGATAACAGATAAGGGCGTTCGTCCGATTTTAATTACCGTAAATTGCAGCGTACAAGTCGATCTGGCGTACAAGTCGATCTGACGTACAAGTCAACCTCAAGTTTTTTAGATCAAAATTCTGGATTAGAACTATACCTACAGTATAGGTCGACCCCAAAATATAATATGCCATTGAACGAAATCTCAGGCCTACCAGTAAAGGAATTTATTCGACAGTATAGGATAACCAGTGCCAAAAGTTCATCATTTCACTCCTTTTACCTGTATATTGAGCCGCTAACCGTAATATATTTCTGTATGCGTTTTATAGCAAACAATATACAATGCAATGTAATTTTTTAAGGTCCCAGTAATATTTGATTTGGGGGAGGCACGGTGGAGTAATATAGCGGCTCAGATTGAGTTCGAATTCCAGTCGAGTCCATTACATTCACTTACGTGTTAATACCCTTGGGAAAGGTAAGAATCCTCTTCTCCTCCCAGGTATGGTGAAATAGCAGGACAGACTGGATTCTATAGCCTTGGATGGCAACTGGTCTATCTCGTCATTCATGTATCGAAAGATAAATGATCGCCTAACCGTGTATCACGTATTTCACCGCTAATAAAGTCTAATCACCATAGACGGCTAATAACGTCTTCGAATATAGCCTGCTGAAATGCGATTGGGTCTAACATAATCCCTCGTCTTTTACCCTGTCAAATATGGAATGTGAAAAATGCTTCTACTTATATGCAGTAACACTTGCAAAGACGATAATGGTTTTAGACGCAAAGCCTTCATCAGATGATGACTTTGGAATGAAGCTGGAACCTAGGTCGCCCAGAAAATAATCTCAAATTATCCCAAAGATCTGTGAGCTTTTCAACGCAAATGAAAATATATACTTGTAATAAAGAATAATATGTAAATAATAAAAGGCTTAATATATAATACTAATTAATGCAAATTGAGTGTTCGATATCATTAGACTCTGGTTTAATTCACTCATAATCAAATGCATTGACACCATCCTAATTCAATAACAACCTATAAAAATAACTAAATGGCTTAATATATAATAGAAAATATAAATTGAGCGTTCAATATCATTAGATGCTTACTTAATTCTCTAATAATCAGATACATTTTCACCACCTATATATATATATATATATATATATATATATATATATAGATAGATAGATAGATAGATAATATTAGTTGTAAATATACACATACATATGCAAAATATATAAATATATACATAGATGCATACATATATATTTTTTTGAATAAAAATTCCAAGAGGATAGAATCCAGGTAGAACTCAATGTCTAGGACAGAGTAAGGATATGATAAAAGGCTTAAACACTATTATTCCATGGTCATAATTTATTCCATTCGAATCGTAAATATATATATATATATATATATATATATATATATATATATATATATCCAAAACGTGTTTAGCTTCGCTTCAAGTTACCACCCTGTCTCCTTTTTCATGCTTGGAGCAAACTTCAGGTAGTGTAAATGCATCTTATTATATATATATATATGTGTGTGTGTGTGTGTGTGTGTGTGTGTGTGTGTGTGTGTGTGTGTGTGTGTGTGTGTGTGTGTGTGTGTGTGTGTGTGTGTGTGTGTAAACTTGACTATTTAAAATATAATATTAACGATTATTAATTTATATCGTCCAGATTCATAAAGTTGGATAATTAAGAATAATATAAAAAAAGATTTATTTTATATTTCGTTTCGGGAAGTAAACAATATATCAAGGGGGGATAACTCTCGTGTTTTTAGCGTGTTTGGATTCTCACTGGGTACTCCAATCATCTGTTGTAATTATCTGCCAATTTAAACGATTAAACGAGTTATATATACATAATGCGAATTGCTTAGAACTTGCGAGAAGTGTTTTAAATTTTAGCCAAGATGGCGGAAAATGGCAAAATTTTATATACGTATTGATTAGAAGCGCTTAAATTTAAATATTCCATTTGTTTATTTTTTCTTATACAATAAGTTTTAAGTTCTAACCTTCCGTCCACCACCGTGACATATTTAACACGGTTTGACTTTTCTCTTTATCAAAAAATCAATCGGCAATCATTGGTTTGAACGTCTGCAGATTTGAGGATGACGACGCCTAACAAAACAAAACAAAAAAAATGGTTGCATGTCTAGGCAGATTCTCTTTGTTGTACAATCGAAAAATGGTTTTGTTCTTTCAAGTTTGCAAATGGTGTAAATCAATTGTCTGATTTGATTGCGTTTTTATCAATTTTATTTCATTTTTTTCTTTTTATATTTTTGTGGATTATTTATGATCGAGATTTTGTTTTTTGGACTTTCTGGCTTCAAAAATGAGACTGCCATCTTTTAATCAATTTTTCTTAGCTTTGTAAAGTTAAAAATCAAGAAGAAAACCCGTTCCCACGTTCCCGCCTGCGTAAATACATCCATTACTCGTACTGAGATCTAACTCGGATTGTCTCTATCTGACTTTAAACAGATTGTCTTAAGCGGGCATTTCTCTGTTGTTTAATGTGAATTATCGAGAAACCTTGAGGTCAATGGTTCGGGTTTTCCAGGATCATCCGAATACAATAAAAGCAAGATGCAAAAGAATAACTTAAAGATATCATTTCTCTCACGCTTCCCCACCTCTCTCTCTCCCTTTCTGAGTGTGTCTTTTTATCATTTCACCCCAGCCAAGGTGATAATGC